TTTTTGCTCAAGGCCAGTGCTCTACCACAGAAGTGGTAATGTCTGCCCTTTTTTAGTAATTTAGTGTAGATAAGGGTATCACTTTCCTGTCCTGTCTGGCTTTGAACCTTGATCCTTAATATCAGCCTCTTGAGTAGCTAGCATTACAGGTGTGAGCTATCAGCACCTGGCTTAGAAGTTCTTTAGCCAATTGCTGTGATGTTCAAGTCTCTTCTCAGCTTTCCAAGTATGTGGACTATTGTGGCGAGGATATGATCCTTAGACAGTTGTCCCTAATTAGGGCTTTATTCTCTTTCTCTTGGTTGTTGAACACAGGGTGATACAGTGGCTGCTTAATCCTTACAGCCAGGCTACTTGTGCATCTCAGTTTTGTTTGGAGATGGGCTTGAACTCTGGATCCTCCTGCCTTGGTCTCTCTCCAGAAATGAAGGATTACAGGCTAGAGGTGTGGCTTTGGTGAGAGAATGCCTGTTTAGCAAGTGTGAGCCTCAAAGCCAATGCTACCAGAACCATAGACAGTTCAGAGGTTATAGGCATACACCACTCACCTGGCTCTTAAGTTCTTAAATCTTATATCTTCCCACATCTATTTTTTTTTTTTTGGGTCCAGTCATGGGGCCTGAACTCTGGGCCTGGGTGCTGTCCCTCAGCTCTTCAGCTCAAGGCCAACGCTGGTGCTGTCCCTCAGCTCTTCAGCTCAAGGCCAACGCTCTACCCGAGCGTTGGCCTTGAGCTGAGAGCGTTGGCCTTGAGCTGAGAGCGTTGGCCTTGAGCTGAGAGCGTTGGCCTTGAGCTGAAGAGCTGAGGGACAGCACCCAGGCCCAGAGTTCAGGCCCCATGACCGGCCAAAAAAAAAACCAGGAGAAAGTTATTCCTATGTTTTCCTGGCCTAGTTAGTTACTACAATCCCCTTTGGCACAATGTCTGAGACTCCTGTCCTTTTGGTTTGCTTTCCTCTTGTGTGCTGTTAAGGTTAATGTTTCTGTTATTGATTACTTTTCTCAGTGTGTGTGTGTGTTGGGGGGGGGTTGGGAATGGAGCCGAGGACTTCAAGAACAAGCTAGGTAAGTAAGTGTTCCATCAGTGAGCAACTGCCTCAGCTCCTGGTTTGTCTGGGATTTCTAGACTGCATGTAGTCTTCCTCCTCTGCTAGATCTAATCCCGGTTCTGTGGGAGCACCAGTTGCATCTTTGGCCCTCACCATCACCTGGTCATGTGACATCCCTGCTGCCTGCTCTACTGTGTCAGGCAAGGATGGTTTTGCTGAAAATAGATGAGTGTGGGTTCACACTTGTTTTATCTTTGTGAGTCTGACCCTCTTTGGATACTTCATCTCCTTTTCCTTACTTGCAAAGTGGACAGCAGACCATGTTTCCTCCCTGGCCTGGGTGTTGTTGAGTAATGATAATCCTGGTCCCTGAACACATGATATGTAGAGCCCAGGACACTGGGTCCCTTCAGCCATGGAAGACTGACTTGTTCCTGCTCTTGGCCAAAGTGCTAATAGGCCCTGCTGCATTATCCTCCGCCTGCTGTGTCTACTGACACATCTGTCCTCTGCTAGTTTTGATTTTATAGTACAGTCCCACCATAATGGTAGTGGTATAGGAAGAGGGTCTAGCTGGCCATGAGCCTGCAGCTATTGGGGTGGGCACTAGGGGTGGGCACTATGAAGCAACTAGCTGTGGGAAGGGAGAATTGGCAGCTGCCAAGGGTGATTGGCATAGATATACTTTGACATAATCAAGTGCATCAACATAGCCCAGCAATGGTGGTCATAGGCTAATTATAAGCTAGCCTGGCAGGAAAGTCTATTGGACTCTTAACCAGCAAAAAGTTGTAAGTGGTAGAACACCAGCCTTGAGCAAAAAAAGGCAAGTGAGAGCCTGAGGCTTTGAGATCAAGCCTTAGTACTGGT